TGTAACTAAAAAAGATGCTAAAGATTATCAAAAACATCTATTGAATACATTTGAAAAATGGGTTAAAGATGGTGTTTTAACAGAGCAAGAGATTCATAGTTTCTATAATGCATTAGCTGGAGGTGTTGATTCATATTTTTCAAATGAGTATGGTGATGATTATTTAGTTGATAATGTATTTAACTTGATTAATAATTTAGCCGAGAAGAATCTTTTACCAGTGATTATATTTAATACTGATAGGGATAAGGTTGATATGTTAGCAAGGGCACTTGAAAAGAAAATGGAGCAATTTGATGTTTATATTAAAAAAGATCGAGATCAAGAAAGGTATTTAAAGGAACAAAAGAGAAAAAGAGAAAAAGAGATGAAAAGAAATCAAAAGATGCCTGGAAAGAAGAAAGTACTGATGAAACACCAACAATAGAAGAATCAGTAAAATTCACATTTCTTGATTATTCAACAAAATTGGCTGATTTTGAAGTTGAAGAAGAATTTGGTAAACATGTCTCTAAGGACATTGTTAAACTTGCCTATAGAGGAATAGGAATTCACCACAATTCTTGTAATAGAAAAGCGAAGACTGCAACTGAAATTTTGTTTAGAAAGAGGCATATTAGGGTGTTATTTGCGACTGAAACATTGGCACTTGGAATTAATATGCCTTGTAGATCAGTTGTGTTTTGTGGAGACTCACCCAATATTAACCCTATGAATTTTAAGCAGATGTGTGGAAGAGCCGGAAGGAGAGGATTTGATACATTAGGAAATGTTATCTTTATGGGTATATCAAAGGGCAGAGTGCAGAATTTAGTTGCTTCAATGTTACCACGTCTTCACGGATCTTACCCTTTCTCAAATTCTTCATTAATAAGTTTTGATATTGAAAAATGTATTATTGAAAATCCTTTAATTAATTTAATTGATGTAAATAATAATGTTGATGACTTAAAAGGGAAACTTAGCAAATTATCATTATAAACCGATAAAATTTTCCCTGTAAATTCATTAGATGTTAGAAAACAGTTAGTTAAGTATCAAAAATCACTTTATCCTTTCATATACACGTCCAACTATTTATGGGATTTGTTTATTTCATGTAAAAACATGGATCCAGAAATTTATCTCTTTGGTTATTTGATTGATAGAGATTTAATTGATTATGAGAGTAATGCATTTATGTTGCTTATTTCTCATTTATTTATGGTTGTTCCATCTTTGAGAGATGAATGTACTTTGCCTGATTTACCCAACAGACTAAGTGTTTCACTAGCTGCAATCAATAGACATTACATTAAACACAGTAGTAAGTTTGTAAATCCGATACTAGCATCATTACAAAGTAATAGTAAAGATATTCTTATGAATATTAATGGATTTTTACACTGTTTTACTTTTAAGAAGAATTCTTATATTTTAGACTTTTTTAATCATGGTGATGAAAATAGACTATGTAATTTTAATGGAATAGAAAA